ATCTTTTGTATTAACAAAAAATGATTGATTATATTTCTGAATTGAAATGTAAATTTATGCCATACAAGTCGGAATTTGATTCCGATTGCATATTAATTATCGATATACCGCTTAATTATGGGATAAATATTGGTGTTGGAAAATATATTTGTGTGTGTGTGTGTAAGTGAATGAAGTGAAAAATAAACGTTGGTCTGAAATTGTGAATTTTTTCCATCACCTAACTTCTAACCACACATTCTTGGCGGTTCGTGATTATACCAACCGTTTTAGATCGGTTAACCTATTAACAAAAAATGGTGTCATTACTATTATTTTATCTTTATCTTATTGTGTCAATTTTTCGATCAATTGTGTTCATGTCGAATACAACTACAAATATTTGTTTTTCAATATTTAATGACAGTAAATTAAGTTGCTTCTCCTGTAAACTATTAAAATATTCCGTTCATTGCCAAGACAATAACTGGCTCGATTGTAAGACAGTTGGCTAGAACACTGTTGGATCGCTCCCTGAAATGTCACAGACAACAATGGAAATCAACAAAGTTTACGAGCATCCCTTATAAAGCACAACATGATGTTTTTTTCAACATTGCAATATTTGTAATTAAGACATAGTCTGGCATTTGGTTCCTTAGAAAAGAACATTGTTGTCGTATTGCGTGTTTGCCATTTATGGAAGCACATTGGAGCATCGAATTCACTTGGAGACAAACTAGAAAAACAAACCATTTTGTGTGTACTACAAACTGAAAGCCACAAATACATAAATAACTGGCGCTGGCAGTGGAACCAATTCTATAGATTTCAGTGTAAAATCATTATGGTGGTCGATCGGTGACATTTTCAAAATACGCACCGATTTTTTGTTTTAATACTTTTGGGGTTGGTTCGGTGGTATTTTGAGGTGTTTCACATAAATTCCTTTTATGGGTTGATTTGGGTTCTCTATAAACTCATCTGTTTACAGGCATACACACCATGTACATAAATATCCAATGTATATTCCGTAAATAATTGATGTTGTTGTTGCTTTTTAGTCCGTGTTTTATTTATTTTATTTTTGGTTTTTCTAAATGCCAACAGGTGATCAATAAACCATAATAGACTACGTATTTAATTGTGGTCATAAACGTTTCTTTTCATTTGTCACCTCTACGTCAAAGAGTCGTCAAGACACCACTTTAGTGCCACCGTAATCACCGTAACTACCAATCTGTCTGAATCGTTATGCCATCATCTGCAGCATCTGAAGTCTCGAATAACGTAGCTGGTGAATGTTCTTTGGTAGTGTCACTTTAAATGTGGGTGAAGAATACCATTTCAAGTACAAATCAACAACAATTATGAGTCGATCACTGAAATGCTGCTCAATAACAACTGGAATTACAACGTCATCTCGTAATTACAATTATACATATGGGATATTCCACGGACATATTATTATTTTATTTAAATTGTTAATAAAAAATTATTCTGAGGGTATATGCGTGGAGCTTATGAAATGTGGTATAACGTTAGGGCACATTATATCGGTAGGCGAAATGGCTCGATATCTTCTAAGTTGTTAATATGTAACCGATTGAAATAGGCATTGAACAAGATCTACTAATAAGGTCACACAGTAAGTAGAATATGTTAAACTCTACAAAATTGTGGATTGGTACATACATACACAAAATGCCCACACGCTTATATGTTATGTTCATGTAAATGCTAACTAAATATCTACCCACATACAGACAGACACTTCCATTTCTGTTAAATGTAATACTCCTTACTGGTAAGTGGTCGTTTGTAATGTTGAGATTTGGAAGATTTCAATTGACTTTAGATTTGCATAAAATTGCCACAAATTGAATGTGTCAGGAATTAAGTTTTTTTTTTTGCTTATTTGCCACACAAGACATGATGCTGCAAAACTCTGAAAAAAAAAACAATAAACATTCTAAAGAGCATACCACGCAATCAGAAAATAATTGTTTGTGTTGCTGATTTGAAGTACTTGGGCACTTTATGCATTAGGCTAGTGGGTTCATTAGATTTGGTAAGGAGAGCCATGTATCCGCGAGTTCAATTTTGTTAGGCCTAAATTCCGGGGCCCCCAATGAGTTCTGATATTGATGGATGCAAGAATCTGCTCAAAATTTCAATACGAATTATACGAGATATCTTGCTCTGTGGGTTTTTAAATGAATTCTTAACCCAGAGAGTGGCATACAAATTGTCTTTCGTATATCAAATTTCATTAAAATTTAATTTTTATAAGGTTGAATATTTGCAATACCTTGAAATATTCACCGGAGCTCCCACAAAGTATATACTCTTGATCACAATAATATTTATGCATGTCCGTCTGTTGAAATTGCGATAGGGATCGCAATGTTTAAGATGGAGCTCTGACAATTTGCACAGATATTGCTAGTACTCCTAGGATGTTTGGTATTGCAAATGGGATATATCGGTCCACGTTTCGCTGTAGCCCCCACATAACGTTACCCCCAATATTCGGTATATCAGTGATTTTGGGCACGGTGATTTTTATTCACATTGGCTCTCAAATCTCAGTACCAAAAAAATATCAATATTGCTCCCCGTTTTATTATAGACCCATATACTGGTAGCCCCACTATAATATATGTTTAGCAGTTCAATCATATTTTTTCTCACTTATTTTTCGGTATGTTCAAGGTCCTAATTTTAGATATTTCATTGACCGTGCCGAACTCAACATTGTTTTTATTACTATTTTAATAAAATACCATTTTATTTAGATGTCAAATCTATAATCAAATATGAATAACAAATTAGATTTCAAAATATTGGCCACACAGCCCCTTTTGGCCGTAGAATCCGTTCCCTGATTTCCCAAAAGCAATTGAGCAAATATCTTCTGTAATAATTTGGTTTCTTAAAACTTAACGCCGAACTAAGGTGTTTCTAAAAAAATATATACACATGGGTGCATGGGCATGGGCATTTGCAGATGTCTATGTCTGTAGTAAACATACACTTTGCACGTACAGCCACTGGTTTAACATTTTCTTTGAAAACAGATCTTTGCAGATTTTAAGATTTCCAACCTTAACCCTAATTTTAGAAAAATTTCAAAAAGCAGAAACTAATGAAAATCTGTTTTCGCAAGTTTACACCTAATTGAGTGGCATTAACTGGCAGGGGCGTAGATGATAAGAGGCGGTATCTGTAAAGAAATGTCGGCAAGATCGAAATGTAATTATTTCAGGATGTTTGGATTTCATTGAGAAGAAACTACTAAGAATGTGTTGTTCTAATTAGAAGAGGTTGAGTCTAATGCCGTATCTTCGCACTACATCTATGTTTGGTATGTATGTTGTTGTGTGTGCAATGCTTAGTTTCAAAAAAAAACAAAAAAAAATGTTTGATTAGAGCTATCATTATCTATGTGTATGTTTCTCTATAAATAAATTAAAAAACCCAGAAGTAATGTTTACTTCTATGATTTCCGATAATCGACAGATGACATATTCACCCATTACTGGTAGACACACGCCATGACACTTTGGGAAGTTATTCCGAAGCAATTTCATTGTTATTTTTTTTTTTGATTATTTAAGATATTGATTTATTAAGATATTTGATTTATTAAGGTATTGAGTGAATATCGTGGCAGAGCCGTGTAATTAAATTTCTACGATCAGTTAGTTGGTTAGTAAATAATTTATTCTGAAATGCGCAACAACTACCCTTTTCCTGATTAACATGATTCCGCAGTACCAGTCTATGTTCCAATGACAAGATCGATTTGCAAATTGACGACTCCGGTGATGTTGATGAAGTGATAGAATAGAAAAGTGATTTTATTATAACATCGGCTTGGCACGTTTTCATCGAAGAACAAAAACACAATTCAAATTATTTAGATTTTCCGCAATTTTCAAGTGGGCACGACAACAAACACAATAATATATAATTAAATTCCAACAATTATAATTTAAAGATGCTGCGATGTTATTGAAAAAAAAAACTACAACAAAAGTGGGTAGGAATGTAGTTTACGAATGTATGTTTATGTTTATCTTATGAATGTTTTGCATATTTTCCCTATTATTTAGCATAACAATACAATTTGTTTGACATTGTGACTACAAGTGAATAGACAGACGGACATACTCAGAAGAGTTGTTGTGATAAGCTTGATTTGTTCTAAGTGTGCATTCAGAAAAAAAAAAAAATCTGAAATATTTTTCTTTTGGGTCAAAAAGTAAAAAATGAGAAATAGAATAATATTTGTTAAAACTTGACATCTTGAACCTCAGGGATCTTCTATTAATCGATAGGTTTTATAATGCGGGATCGATAACATATTGAACATGTTTCTTGTCATTTTCGGATGGTAGGGCAATTTTGCGAAAAATTCAATTTAGCTATGTTAACAAAAATATTTATTTGTTCTTGCGTGTGAAGCAGGGTTCAACGCCAATTAAAATTCCCCCGGGGCATTGAGTTGAAATCGTGCATTCCAATTTGAAAAAAAAAACAAATAGTTAACACATTTTGCATATAGATTTTGTTGGTACTAATTAAGCTATACCCTTTAATTATATTCAAATTAAAAAAAATAAACTTTAATGCAATTGATTATAAGTTAAGATTTAAGAAAAATTCCTGAGATCTTTAAGAACTTGGAAATATTATGGCGCCTTAGTCATATTGGATATTAAAGTTTTTTTTTTGTTTATTTTTAAGTTCTTAGTTAAAAACTATCTTTTGTTATGCAAAACGCTATTGAATTGGCGATAATGAAGATAATAATATTAACTCATCACAAATTTATTAGAGACAATCATCAAAGTAATTATCATTTAGAATGTCTTTTTCCATATATATATATATATATATATATATTTTTTTTTATAATCTTTTTTTACGAAAATCAACGTTGGACAGCTTGGTTTTGGCTTGCATATATTTTTATACTTTTTTTGTATATTTTAAGAACACCTTCCTTTACTCACCTGAGCACTTATGAAGTAACTTCGATAAGACAACAGTAGCGACAGCACAACCGTTGACACGAACCAGTTACGGTTGGACATCGTTGCCGTTGTTAATCTGCAAGAAATAAACAAAAACAACAACAACAATTATTTCTATTCATTTGTAGAGGCGATAAAAGATTAAATGAATCGAAATTCGCTTTTCATAAAACACATGAAAGTACTTTAGATAAATGTTGAATGTGTTTGGTATAATTGTTGATATAGAAATGTTTTTATAAATTGGCGATCAAATCAATCATCAATCAATTGATCCATAAATTGACTTTTAAAACAATAAATAAAGGGATTTGAAAAGAGCAGTGCAGCATTGTGACATAACTATTAAATCACAAAAGCTAAAAATATAAAAATACGTCATATGCGGAAATTATGTCTAAAATGCTTAGTTGGAAACTGGGTGGATATTATGCAAGTTCTTATTGATTTCAGAAACATTATTACAGGCTAAAACTCTTGAATAGTTTAAATCTGATCATTTTCAATTGCGACCCAAAATAATATACAGATATCCACTACATAAAAAATACATCATAAATAGAGGGTTCCCAAGACCGAAATAATTTGGTCCAGTTTTAGTATCGGATATCTTAGAATATGTTCATGGGTTTATAAGTAAGTCTAACATTGCATAAACTCTGTCATTGAAACTGCGGCATGTAGACATTAAAACAAGTTAAAGTGTTGTTAAGTTCGGTTCGGCAGAAATTTTAAGTTATGATAGGACCTTAACACTAGAAAGACCGGAATTCTGTATATACCGATATTGCCTAAAATCGGTCAAAATGACTTCATTCTGAAAGAATTTTTATTGTGTAAAGATTTTTTTTTTTTAATTTATTTTTTACATTATTTACAATCATACAAAACGTTATAAACGTTGTTATAATTTTTTTCGGTGGGAGGGCTCTCGAGATTCCCTGGTCATATAAGAAATGTACTTTATGCAATAATAAAAGTAGTTTGATTATTTAACCCTTTGTGGCCCGAATTTTTTTCCGTAATCAAAGAACAATCAGATACAGTACATTCTTTCTGAAAAATAAAAGAACAACATCAAGAAAACAAAAAGCGAAATCGACGAAAAAGTCGTTTTAAATTATTCTCTATATTACGTTTTCCAAGAATCAAAAATATTTCTGATGTCAGAATTCGTAAATTTCGAATACGAAACGATTTAAATAATTTGGACTGTATACACAAATTGGTTTTGTACACATTTTTGCCCTCTTCTCTATATTGAAAAACTCATAACTTTACCAAGAATTTGAATTTTTAAGATTTTTCTTTTGATATGTGTTGTCCATAATCAGGTCTAGACGTACGAAATCCAAATAATATATATATATATATATATATATACTAGCTGCATATTAAATATAAGCTTTAAAACAATTTGTTGCCTGTGGGCAACATTGGGCCACAAAGGGTTAATATTTCACAAGAGGTCAAAATGACCGATTTTAGGCTATATAGGTATATCGCATGTGAATGCGGGGAATGAAAGAGGGGGGTACGCAGCTACTATGCTCAATAAACGTAGTTCTATGTGGTACAAAAAACAACAAATTTGAAGAAGCTGTGCATTAATATACACAATTGTTTTTGCACTTGACATTGAAAAACGGTCAAAATGACCGCCTTCGGCAATCTAGTGTTAAATATACCGATAATACGCGAAAAAATGTGATTACCTATTAGTGTTGGTATGAGGTAGTGAAATAATTTTTAGTACAGAGATGTGGGGGGGTACCGTTATATGGGGCTATATTCAAACTTGTGTCAATATTAATAATGTTTAGTACAATGAGAAGCCAAATACGAAATTACGGCCAACTCGGTTGAAAAACATGTCCAAAATCCCAAAATACCGAATATTCGTGGTGGGCTATCCTGAAACTCGGGTCAATATAAATAATATTTAGTATGGAGATGTGATGTACAATAAGAAACCAAAATACTAAATTACAGTCATTTCGATTGAAACACGTGTCGAAAATGGCCAAAATAACGAATATTGGGGGGTACTGTTATATGGGGCTACCCGGAAACTTGGTTCAATATTAATAATTTGTGGTACGGGCATGTGGAAAAAAAATCTGTTCAAAATAACGAATATTTGGAGGTACCTTTATATGGGGGCTAAATCAAAACGTGGACCGATATATCCCATTTGCACCACCAAATATCCTACGCGCAATATCCTGTGCAACATTTCACAATTCTATTTTTAAAATTGCGATCTCTATCGTGATTTCTACAGACGGACATGCATAAATCGACATATAATTTTATTCTGATGAATATTTCGAGGTGTTGCAAATGGAATGACAAATTAAATATACGTTCCACCTTATGGTGGAGGGTATAAAAAGTACATTGGCAGATGATAGATTCTAACTTTACCCTCAATAGAAACTATGAGTCTTTACAGTTTCCATTTCCATTTTACACACAAAAATAATTGATAAAGACTAATGACAATATTTTAGTATATCTCCCATATTTGTGGACAATAATATCAATGAGAAGTTCAACAGTTGCTCCATCTTACGCTGCCTATATCTACCCGCAACAACCATATAATGACAAATGACAATTTTTGTCATTTTCCAAAAAAGTCATCCGAATATTGACATATCACAATAAAATCATAGATGTTTACTATCTATCCTAATGTACCTACAATGTGAAACATTTCGGATCATAACTGCGATACTCTAATCCATATTTCTTGGCGTATAGAACTAAAATGAGTTTTATATGCAGTCCAACATAATAGTGTAGGGGAAGCATTTAATGATATGTATGGGGGATATATCTACAACTGGAAGGGTATGGACTAAGTGCAAGAGATATTGCTGTAGACCATAAATGCTGTACCCCAACAAGTACTATCTATACCTGTTCGGCTCGGCTTGCACGAAATAGACTTAGATAGTTATTCTAAGTACATGATCAGTAACATCTATGGATTTAATACCTTTCCTAGAACACAGTGGAACCTAAATCCCCGTAATTTTTTTTCCAAAATATCGATATGAGGAGGTTCATTGTATGAATTACTATTGGCTTTCAACATATTCTGTTCTCTTCAAAATAAGTGTCATTACTTTGTCGACATTATAGAATATTATTTAGCAACAATGTATTAAATTTATCTTTTAGCTTTTTGTTGAGATTTTTTGTTATTGTTATTTTTTTCTTCTATTTGTTGGCTGCCTTTTGTATAACATGATTAATTTAATTAATACCAGTGGTTGTCTTAAGTTACTATTGTTGTTGTTGTTGTTTTCTTTATTCGACTAAACATTAAAATTTCCCATCGTCTATTTGGCGATTGTCAATACAATGGCACATCAAGACAGAGTTATTTATTTCAAACTTGAAATAATTCTGTCTGTTTTGTCTGTCAGGCTGAGTGGCATGTCAGTGCAATCAGCCGCCGTGACGACGACGATGATGATGACGACAACGATGGTGCTGATGATTTTCAAAGAAGATTAGAAATGTTTTTGTTGCGACTGTTGCATGTTTTTCAATTGTTTTTGGATTCTAGAAGAGCTACGAAGACAGAAGAAGCTGTAGAAACAAATCGAGATAAACAAATGTTTCGCAGATTTTCCAAATCCGATAGCACTGTTATTAATTTCCCTTTGTCAAGATATACTATCTACAGAATCCGCTGAACATTGTCTTCATAAAAATACAATCAAATAAAAATGACTATAAAATATGTAAAAGAGGGAAATCGTGTATCAAATACCAATTCAACTGTCGACGCTTGAATGGGTCATAACATGTTCTAGTAACGTGTGTTTTGTATGTAGATACATTTTGGCCAAATTTATTGTTTCGACTTTTCAACACCTCGTCGCACAGTGTCACGACCGCGGCCAAAAATGGTCAAAACCAAGTACCACGGATGACAAATTTTTTGATGAGGATTGATAGAAAATACTCCAATTAGAATAAATATGAAATTTTACATCGATATGTCGAGTAGTTTTGTCTCTACAAAGGTTCAAATCTGATAATTATTTATAAACTGATTTTTTACCATATTTTCGAAAAATGGGTGTGTTTTTCTGATGCTCAAATATTTGAATATTCAAATTAACGGTTATTATAAAAGTGTTTATTTTGGTTGCTGTGGATGTTAAAAACTAGAATTCGCTGCAGTTTGTATGTATATAGATATCATATGGTGTATACAGTCGTCCACACTTGTAGTACTTAGTTCATCAAATTTGTAAAACAATTTTTGAAATTAGTGGAGCATAAAAAAAAGTTTAAAAAAGGTTAGCTCTAATTTTTTTTATTTGAGTGGTGAAAAGTGTGTTATTTAAGGAATAAAAAAAATTAGCTGCGGAGTCCTGCGGTCCTAAGAGTTATTTAACTTTTTTGGTGATGACCTTTTGAAAAAATATGGCATATTCACGAAATGGTTAGAAGCAGATGGTCAAATATGTTATGTATACAATTAAATAAGTTATTGAGGGTCAAATAGGAAGGAGAAATTGGATTCAGAACATAGTAATAATACAATATTTTACATAAAATATGCAATTAAGTGGTAAAAACGTTATTCGAAGGGTAGATATGGGAGAATTGGTTTTAAAATATAGCTTTTAAATAAATTTTCAGTCAGTTTGAAGATTATACTTATTTATCAGATCATTTGAGACATAATCTTATAATCTTAATTTAGAGGCCGCACATGAATTACCTTTGTGGAAAGTTCATACATAAAAATATTAGTTCATGGCATGGGATACGCAAAGTGCAGTACAATACCTTTTGAGCGACTTTCACAAGGTGCTAACAAGTCATGCCAACAAAAAATTAGTAGCAGCCCGAACTTTTGTTAAAGCCGAGTTAAATAAGGATTTTATTTAGTATTTTATATTACAATCCGACCTTGTAATATCCTTAAACAGCCATAAAGTAAAGGCCCGATATTATAATGTGGATGATATTAAATCGTACATTTGGGAAGACAATATTATATATATATATATATATATCTGATATGTGTTTTGA